TCCACTACAAGTGTGTGTTATCTAAACTTGACTGGTTCCTCACTGCTGCTGGGTAAATCTTATTCTTCTCTGATTGACCCAGTAACATTCCCTAGATAGAGGTCGTTGGAAATCTTCACCTCTTAGCCCTCCTATCCCACCCTCTCCAATCCCTTTCAGCACAGGACCTCCTGTTCACACTTTATTGAAAAACAAATGCCTTTGATCAGGAGTTCCCTCTTCTTCCCCATTCTACATTTCAGCAAACCTCTCTATGTCATCCACCATTCTTCCTTTGCTCCAGTCCCTAAGGAAGAGGTAACTTTTCTCTTTGCTAAGGTCAAACCCTCTAATTGTGTTCCTGATGCCCTTTCTCTCCTCTTCAATCCCTCCTTATCTACTGGCTCTTTCCCTGTAGTCTAGAGGCATGCTGAGGTCTCCCCATAGGTACATAACCTGCACTGGACTAGCTACTCTCTCAAGCTATAGATAGATCCCCATCAGTCTGTCATCTCACAACCCAGCTCCCAGAAAATGCTGCCCATACTTGCTGCCTCCATGTCTTAACCTTTCATCCCCTTCTTTTAAGTTGCCTTGAGGAGCCACCATTGGGGAATTGTTCTGTCCAAGGCTATCTATGATCTCCATGCCTAAATTGAAATGCTTTTTCCCCTTTCTCATCATTCTGGATCTCTTGGCAGTTTTTTATTTTGTTGACCACTCCCTTCTCATCTCTTCACTTAGCTTTCCTGATATTGCTCTCCCATGATTCTCCTTTTCAGTCTTCTTTGCTGGATTCACCACCCATGCCCTACTTCCTTGACTCTGGGTTTCCCACAAGGCTTTGCATGAATCCTCTCATCAGTTTCTCTCAGCTCAGTCATCATTTCTATCTAAATTATTCCCTTATCTTTATGTTCAGTACTAGTCTCTCTTGAACTCTAATTCTCCATTATTAATTCCATGATGGACATTTTTCTCCACCTGGTTGCCCCTCTATAACTAAAAATGTCTGGATTGGAATTCATTGTCTTCCTCACCTAAACATGACCTTCCTCCAAATTTCTCTCTATATAACCAATTTTCTATCCTCAGAATCACCCTTGACTCTTCACTCTCCCTTCTATCCAATCAGTCACCAAGTTTTGTCAATGAACAATAATTATAGCTAACATTTATATAGTACTTACTATATGCCAGGCACTTTCCTGAGTGCTTTTTAATCATTAAGCAATTATTATTATCTCATTTGATCCTCACAACAATCCTGGGAGGTAGGTGTGACTCTTATCCCCACTTTAAAGATGAGGGAAAAAAATAAAATAAAATAAAAAATAAAGATGAGGAAACTGAGGTTAAGGGACTTGCTCAGGGTCACATTGCTAGTAAGTCTCTGAGGGCAGATCTGAACTAAGCTCTTCCTGCTTCCAGGCCCAGTGCTCTATCCACTGCACCAACTAGCTGCCAATTTTATCTCTACAACATTTCTCACATTTGTTTCCTCTCTACCTCCAAGGTCCTCATCACTTCTTTCCTGGGTTTTTCCAAATAGCCTCCTAATTGTATTTCTGGCTTCTGGTTTTTTCCTATCCAAG